TCTCCCAAAAGAGCAAAAGATGATAAAAATAAAAACCTTGACCACATGCACACCTTCAATATATGTACAAACAGCCAGCAGAGTGAAAAATTCCTAGCATTCAAACTGTAGGAGGAGTTATCTGGAAACGCTCTTCTTATGCAAGTAAATTTCCCCAAAAAATACAAAGTTCAACTCTCTCCCAAAAGAGCAAATATTAATAAACATTAAACCCTGACCACATGCACACCTTCAATATATGTACAAACAGACAGTAAAGAGAAAACGTCCTAGGATTCAAACTGTAGGAGGAGTTATGCGGAATAACTTTATACCCATAATGGGACGGACGGACGGACGGACGGACGGACGGACAGGGGTAAAACAATATGTCCCCAACTTTCAGTTGCGGTGGCATACAAAATAGTTTCATTTGGCTGATTCAATAGGTCGGTATTACTGGGTAATATAAATCCATCGGGGTGATCTCGGATGCTACAGAAAGGCACCCATCGTGTTATTCGAGAAAGTACAAACCCAGTGATTTGGTTTTATTTGGTAGTTTACATTCAATGAAAAGATGAAGGTATTATGGTTACGACCACTGAAACATGTCCGTCGTCAAATGTGAAACAGATATTCCAAAAAAGTTTATTTTTTCAATTAGTGCGAGGTAGATCAGGGAATTCAATTGATTACAAATAAAAGATTGATATTCGTATAAGACGCTAAAAAAAATCGAAGAATTCTTATTTCATAGTATTGATGCTTTGTCGCTAAGTACGAGCCCCCCTCCCCCCGTTTCCCTGTAACTTTAGTGTGAGTTGATTTGAAGTGTTTAATTTGTTAACAATAAAGTTCAAGTATTTTGATTTGTGTCGAGCCTGTGACATCAATGTAGCGGCAGTGAGACACAACAAACCTATATTTCGTCGTCTCCATCTCCATTCTTTTTTATTTCTATTGAGTTTAACCTTTCATTATACATGTTAGTAAACATGTATGCCATCATAATTTTGTACTTTTAGAATATCATACTGTATTTGCTTACCTCGACTATTGTATCTGTATTTATATTGAATGTTTCTCTGCAAACTTGTATTTAGTTTTTAGAGAATAAAGTATCTATCTATCTATCTATCTATATATCGTTAGGTTTCTAGTTTTTCTCATTTTTCATTTCGGGACCTTTTATAGCTTACTATAGGGTATGGGTTTTGCTCATTGTTGAAAACCATACAGTTTTGTTTTAGTTACATAAAACCGAATTAAACTGTTTTGACATGATAAATTTGTAAACCTCCATGAAGTGTTTTAAAACTTGTATAGGAGTTATTCCTCAATTTCAAGAAAAAACATCTACAGAAAAACATTTTTTTTTTTAATTTTGTTTTTACCGATAAATGTATAGATAAATGTACAGCCGATCAACATGGCGCTTTTACACTTACAGCAGCAATATCAGGCAAGACACAGGGTTCCGTGGAATATTTTACAAAATTACAAAAATACTGCTTCCGTTTGAGAACTTAGGATAAAAACAACAGGACCAAGTGGTTTGGGGATATCCCAATTATGTCCGAAATAGTGTAAACTTTTTAATACTTTTTTCTTATTATTGTCTGCCGTTCCCCTTTTTCTTACCAAATTACTCTGAACAACCACTCGAACTTTAATTTGAACTTTAACTCAATGGATAGAGATACCCATCCAAAGCACATTAAACAAACGATATATTGAAATCTGTTTAAAAATAGAACATATTTTTTCCGAATTGGTCACGTGGTTTTACCTCATCAAGTAATGGGATAACCACATCAAAGAATGACAGGACCACATCAAATAATAAAACAAACACATCATGTAGTGTAAAATCGTCAAATTTTGAAACATCATTACGTAATGTTAAAACCATATAAAGAATAGGCAAATCATCATTACGAAATAACAAAACCACATCATGTAATGAAACAAACTACATAACGTTAAGTCACATTCACATCAAGTAATGTTAAAACCACATTGACTAATGACACAACCACAATAAATAATGGTGAAACCACATAGAGTAATGACAAAACCATATTGAGTAATGACAAATCTATATCAAGTCAATACGAAACCATATCGTGTAATATCGAAATATCATTAAGTAATGACTATTCCATATTGAGTTATATCAAAACATCATTACGTAATGTCAAAACCATATTAAGTAAAGACAAAATATCATCAAGTAATAATAAAACAACATAAAGTAATATCAGCTAGAGTTCCACATAAGACAGCTGTGGCGTTCCATAATTATTATACAACCGCTTACCAATCGTCATGTTTGATTGATCGCCGGGTTCCTGTTTAAGTGACCTTATTACAAATGTAACCGTAAAGAGCCGACATCAGTCGTTTCTTTTATTGTGTTTTATATGAGTTGTTTTAAATTACTTCAGAAAGTTGATGGTCAATACTTTTATCAATTTTATGACGTTCATTTTGATTAATGATGTCGGACCTTTCATGCGGTACGTGGGATGCACTGTAGAGCTAATATAATAAATATAATCTTAATCATATATCTCCTGAGAAAAGTTAGAGTGGTCAGTTTAGGTTAAAATATTTTAATTGTACGCACGCGGTGTAATTTGTGAAACTTGTACAAAATTATAGCAATGACGACGATTTCGAAATGCCATACGTAAAGAAATACCATTCAAACTACCAAATAAACGTAGGTTTTAATTCCATAAGAAAAGTTCTTCGACTTCGTTCGCATGAATAATTTTGTTGTATTATCTTTCTAAATCGTGACCAAGAAAACTTCATGTCATGACTTTGAACAAATGTTAGTTCACAAACTTCGTATAAGTTGGTCATTCTTCTGACGTAAATTCTCCTGAATGTTAAATTATGGAAATCCATGTACACTTCGTATAGGATTATTTTCACATTCTCAAATTGTTCACCTTCAAAACCTGTGATTTTCATTGTGTGGCTTTGAGTTGCATAGATTTGAAAGATGCATAGACTAACAAGGCATCACAATATTCAAAATTCGGACTGTTTCCGTCTTTTTCTCGTTAGAAAGTTTCTCACTTCGTGTGCTCGACCAAATAAAATGCAAAATGTATCACAGAAAAAATAAACGCGTACGTTCAATCACATAAAAGATCACAAATTGAATAATATTGTGAATCAATTTAGTCCTAAAAAGGCATTAGATCACTCAACCAAAATCTTATCCAGGTACAGACAAGCAAAGATGGGAGAAAACAATAAGAAGCATGAACTTCAAACAGAGTGAGACTTGCTGCATCCACAGAGTGAGAAAATTTATTCTACCACTGGCGAAAATCAGAATATAGCAACGTTATTTTTAAAATAAATTATGAAAGTTTCAATAGAATTGAGAATAGAAACGGAGAATGTGTCAAAGAGACAACAACCCGACCAAAGAGCAGAAAAACAGTCCAAGGCCAAGGGTCTTCAATGCAGCGAGAAAATCCCGCACCAGGAGGCGTGCTTCAGTTAGCCCTTTAACAATAAATTGTATACTAGTTCAGCCAAATGGACGCCACACTAAGCTCCGAAACATATAAATAAAAAATAAATTAAAAAAGAACACAAGAGACAACAAAGGTTCCTGATTTGGGACAAGCGCAAGAATGGTTTGGATAATTACACACACTTGGTACCATACATCGTATATATTGCTGAAAATTCAGCGAGTTTCTCTTTTGGAGGAACACTTGTTAAAATGTATAGAATACATAGTGCGGTGTACCATTATCGAAAGTTGAAGGCTCGTGTTAAAAGTGAGAGATTTGCTCAACAGTATTTTGAAGAAAGACGCTCTGAAAATTTGACACATTAAAAATAGTCTTAAGAGGAAGATATATTCTGTCATTGAAAGTTTAAAGAAAAAGTTTTGAAATCTTATAAAAGAGACTAAATTCGTGTTTACTTATACATATAACCTTTTACTTTCGGAATTCCTTAATACAGCAACACAGTTTTTCTTTATAAGAAAAATCTTCACAACAAGTTATGTTTCTGTTTTGAATTTAACAAATCATTATATTGTTCACACCTTAGACCGTTTTTCTTTTTCTCGCTAATACTTTGCAAGGACTTATCAAACAGGTATATTACGTTTAAGATCGTTTAAATTATTATGAGTGGTATGGCAAACCAGGCAGAAATCATTCGAACACATTGGAATGTCGGTTATAGTACATTGTTTAAGTACTTGAAGATAAGGCATATTTGAAGTTCTTTTACCTTTGGAACATGACCTAAACTGTCGCTATGTCTTCCGCCTATCATAATATAATTCTTCAGAGGTTAAAATTATTATTATTCGTAAACTCTTAAAAATATGAATCAAATTAGGGTAACACCAGTATCTATAAAATCCAAAGTAGGTTAGGTAGAATTTAGGTTTGTTTATATGCATGTTTTTACAGCTAGTAGTTTCAATATAATATGATTTGACTAATTTTTTTTAAAGTGTTATGATTATGCGATTAATTTATTTAGCTTTGCTTTTATAATTTTGTTTGTTTTATCATATTTTTACTCATGGCTATATGGAAGGTATCCCCTCCCTTACTTTACAAATCCTTGGGGACACTCAGCTGTTACCATCTGAGTTATGGACATTTATGAAATTTTATCACCGGTTGTTTCAAAAATTTTACTCTTCCCCTAAGAATTTCTGGGGATAAACAGTCAAATTTCATACAAATTCATTCCAACACCAATTTAACATCACCACTACTTTGCTTCCTCATAGCCTCATACTAGGTTTCCTCATACCCTCATACTACGCTTCCTCATGAAACCATCGTTTCAAACGCATTTATTTGGAACCATCGTTCCAATTGGAATGGTGTGATGTCAAGACAGGGGTATATACTTTGCTACTTTTCAGTACGCACTTAGGCTCTTGGTTTAGACATGGAGCAAAAATTATAATTTTTTAGCTGAGTAGATTCCCCAAGGGCCAAATTGAGTAATTAATATAAAATGATAAAATTTTATTTCATTTATGATTTATGTTTCATTCAAACCTGGATACAACTGGCACTGCTGCATAATACATATATTTACACAGGAGTTTATTTATATGGGCTAGAGCAAGACTTTGAATTATGTTGATTATATTGTTGATATGAGAACTAAATGCTTAATTTTACGTATAGCGATATTAAATGGAGAGTTCTGGAGGAGATCAGGGATAATTAAAATATTGCTTATATTACATGTACTAGGAACTCATTATGTGTGATTTGGCTCATTGACATATATTTCAGCAAGTTGGAATTAAGGTCAGAGACTTACTTAGGCAGGTTTTTAATGTCAGGTCTAAAGATTTTTGCAAGGAGGTAACTGTTTTTCAGGATGTTTACTCAGGTGTTATATATCTTTCATTATTACAAAACACACATTCACCGACCATAGGAGAAATACATGCAGTATAAACAATAGACAATCAAATACGATCACAACATTACAACAAATTATAAATGGACCGCTAATATATTTACAATCCAAGAATCAGTACACTAGTCAAACATGGAACAAATGACAGTTAAACATATTCTGGATCGTTTCTGAGGACTTTGTATAAACTATAATAGTAATATAACTCTTCAGAGGTTAACATTCAGTCAGTTATATTTGTAAAATTTTTATCAAATAAACACAAACTCTCACATGGGAGTCGCCACTTGCAGAGACAAGTGCAAATTTTTTATTCGTATTTGTATAAAAGTGTGGAAAATTCGTGAAAATACATCGAAATTTAGCAGCTGGTACTGGTTTCCGCTTACTCATGGTCAACAAATCTGAAAATAAATAATATAAATTATTATATTTTTCATTTGGTAAAATGTCACTGTGTGTACACTTTGACTGCAATGGTTCTAATGACTTAAAACTGCCTACATTTACTCGTGCATGAAACAAAATACCCCAATCGAACCAACCTTGAAATAAATATCCAAACACGTGTTTTAACTATAAAGCCCCAGTCACACTGTCACGTTTCGGCTATCCCGTTTTGCTACGTTTTCAAAACGTAGCTAGCGAAACGGCAATATACGTACTAGCGAATCGTATCGATCCGTACTTAAAACGGCAATATACATAGCTATGCGTGGATTGATACGTGATCGGTCCCGTTTGTATTGGTCTGCACAATACAAACGTCACTAAAAATAATAAAATGCTCCGCTTGGGCGCAGCTTGATACGACCGCAGAGGTCGAACCCTGAACAGTTTGGGCAAGTATGGAAACAACATTCAAGCTTGATACAGCACTGAATTTGGATTGTAATTAAATATTTGACACAGCATAGGTTTCTGACACAGAATGAATGTGGTCTAAGAACTTAAAATTTTTTAATTTACCTATTCAAATCATATCATAATTATTTGCTTTTATATATAAATCAGAAATAACCAATTTAAAATGGAAAATTTTAAAGAAAAAAACGAAAATAAAATCCCCCCAAATTTTTTGAACCCCCTTATGATTCATCACCCCCAAACTCAATCCCAGCCTTCCCTTTGTGGTATGGTACCTTGCAGTACAATTTCACAGAGATCCATACACTTGAACACAAGTTATTGTCTGGAAACAAGAAAATGCTTGTTTTTTGGCCCCTTTTTGGCCCCAAATTCCTAAACATTTAGGGCAATTACCCCCAAACTCAAACCCAGCTTTCCCTTTGAGATATGGAACCTTGCAGTACAATTTCATAAAGATCCATACACTTACACAAAAATTATTGTCCTGAAACTAGAAAAATGCTTGTTTTTTTTGCCCCTTATGGCCCCTAATTCCAAAAATTTTGAGGCAATTACCCCCAAAATCAATCCCAGCCTTTCCTTTGTAGTATAGTACCTTGCAGTACAATTTCACAGAGATCCATACACTTGAACACAAGTTATTGTCTGGAGACTAGAAAAATGCTTATTTTTGGCCCCTTTTTGGCCCCTTATTCCTAAACGTTTTGGGCAATTACCCCCAAACTCAATTCCAGCTTTCCCTTTGTGATATGAAACCTTGTAGTACAATTTCATAAAGATCCATACACTTACACACAAGTTATTGTCATGAAACTAGAAAAATGCTTGGTTTTTGCCCCTTTTTGGCCCCTAATTCCTAAAATTTGAAGGCAATTACCCCCAAAATCAATCCCAGCATTCCCTTTGTGATATTGAACCTTGTGGTACAATGTCAGAGAGATCCATACACTTACACACAAGTTATTGTCATGAAACTAGAAAAATGCTTGTTTTTTGCCCCTTTTTGGCCCCTTATTCCTAAAATTTAGATGCAATTACCCCTAAAATCAATCCCAGCATTTCCTTTGTGATATGGAACTTTGTGGTACAATGTCAGAGAGATCCATACACTAACACACAAGTTATGTCTGGAAGTTACAAAAATGCTTATTTTTGGCCCCTTTTTGACCCCTAATTCCTTAACTGTTGGTACCATAACCCCCAAAATCAATCCCCACCTTCCTTTTGTGGTATTGAACCTTATGGTAAAATTTCATAGAGATTCATTCAGTTAAACTAAAGTTAGAGCGCGAAAACCAATGTGTCTTCGGACGACGACGACGACGCCACGACGACGACGACGACGACGACGCCAACGTCATACCAATATACGACCGCAAAATTTTTTTTGCGGTCGTATAAAAACGTAGTAGGAACGTAGAAAAGCGCAGTAAAACGTAGAAGCAACGTAGAAATATGTATTAGAAACATTCCTGATACTATGGTGTACCATTTGGTTCAAAGGGTATTTTTATCGATTAACCGCTACTTTTATCGGTTAACCGCTATTTTTATCGGTTAACCGCTATTTTTATCGGTTAACCGCTACTTTTATGTCGGTTAACCGCTATAAATATGCCGGTTAACCGCTAGTTTTACCGGTTAACCGCTAATTTTATCGGTTAATCGCTATTTTTATCGGTTAACCGCTATTTTCATCGGTTAACCGCTATTTTTATTGCTTCATCAATTCTCATTTATCGTCTATGCACAAATAAATTATTATCTTAAATGAGTAAGTGATTGATGGACAAAGTTTATCGCTTAGCCTGTTAAAACGTAATGTGGATTGCTTACGCCTCCCATGTATCTATTTTTGGTCAATCACTTCCACCCAAGTTATGGAATTGTTAATTGACATACGCACACAAGATTTTAGTGTTGAACACGTGGCAATTCTATATAGCACTTTATCGTACTTCAACAATTTTTGTTTTATTTAATTTTACACTTTCAATATGACAAAATGTATTGGATTTCATGGATCTGAATATAAAATAATTATATGACGATGTTTTAAATTCCAAAAACTTAGTGAAAAAAACATGAAAATGCTCATTTATCAAATAGAGGTACTTGTATATATTCCACTACTACAAATCTGTATAAATGATAATTCGATTGATGATACCGTGTGTAATGAAGACGAGAAATGTTATCTTCTAACATATCTTTTTTTGGTCAATCACTCCCACCCAAGTTATAGAATTGTTAATTGACATACGCACACAAGATTTTAGTGTTGAACATGTGGCAATTCTATATAGCACATCGATCACACTTTATTGTACGTCAACAATTTTTGTTTTATTTAATTTTACACTTTTAATATGACAAAATGTATTGGATTTCATGGATCTGAATATAAAATAATTATATGACGATGTTTTAAATTCCAAAAACTTAGTGAAAACATGAAAATGCTCATTTGTCAAAAAGAGGTGCTTGTATATATTCCATTACTACAAATCTGTATAAATGATAATTCGATTGATGATACCGTGTGTAATGAAGACGAGAAATGTTATCTTCTAACATGCACATATATTTTGTGTTATTTCCAAATTAGAAATGAAAAACTGTTCTCTTTCATATTTCTCCCACAGACATGAAACGATATCTATGATACATTTTCTATATTATTGAATTAAATTATTAATGCTATTCAAAAACTCTACCAATGCTTTAATTCAATATTTTTTTAATCAATAACTTGAAGAATGTATTTTTTGTTATAATTGTATTATTGCAAATGTTATTAGAAAAAAGGTGGATTCAGCATCTACTTTCTGATTTATGTCCGATATATGTTACAAGCTGGGTGGTATAAAGTAATGGAGAGAGTTATTTAATAAGAAAGTATAACTTTATTTAATAACGAGAAACAAACGTTTTATGAAAGTTCGTCAAAATTCCGCCTAAAATGGAAAACTGTGCATCAACTAATAGAAATGTACATAACTGCTTTTTTAGCTCACCTGGCCCACAGGGCCAAGTGAGATTTTCTCATCACTTGGCGTCCGTCGTCCGTCGTGGTCGTCCGTCGTCGTCCGTCGTCGTTAACTTTTACAAAAATCTTCTCCTCTGAAACTATACTGGGCCAAATATCATCATTGGGGTATCTAGTTTAAAAAAATGTGTCCGTTGACCCGGCCAACCAACCAAGATGGCCGCCATGGCTAAAAATAGAACATGGGGGTAAAATGTAGATTTTGGCTTATATCTCTGAAACCAAAGCATTTAGAGCAAATCTGACATGGGAATAAAATTGTTTATAAGGTCAAGATCTATCTGCCCTGAAATTTTCAGATGAATCGGGCAACCCATTGTTGGGTTGCTGCCCCTGAACAAGTAATTTTAAGGAAATTTTGCCGTTTTTGTTTATTATCTTGAATATTATCATAGATAGAGATAAACTGTAAACAGCAATAATGTTCAGCAACGTAAGATCTACAAATAAGTCAACATGACCAAAATGGTCAGTTGACCCCTTAAGGAGTTATTGCCCTTTATAGTCAATTTTTAACAATTTTCATAAATTTTGTAAATTTTTGTAAATTTTTACAAAATATTTTCCACTGTAACTACTGGGCCAAGTTCATTATAGATGGAGATAATTGTAAGCAGCAAGAATGTTTCAGTAAAGCAAGATCTACAATCACAACACCATCACCAAAACACAATTTTGTCATGAATCCATCGGTGTCCTTTGTTTAATGTGCACATAGACCAAGGTGAGCGACACAGGCTCTTTAGAGCCTCTAGTTTTATACATTTTTGTTACTGCTTTTTTAGCTCACCTGGCCGGAAGGGCCAAGTGATCTATTCTCATCACTTGGCGTCCGTCGTCCGTCGTCGTCGTTAACTTTTTACATTTTGAACTTCTTCTAGAGAACCACTGAATGAAATGGAACCAAATATAGTATGACTGTTCCTTATGAGGTGCTGACCAAGAGTCAGGTGAGCGACACAGGCTCTCAGCAGTTTAATTAAAATTTAGCTACTTCGATTTTTTGTAGCCGATCCATCACCCAAGATGGCCGCCAGCGGGGAGCTTAGTTTAACAAAGGACCCTATGGGAAATACATACAAATGTCTTCTTTTAAAGAACCACTGAATGGAATGAAACCAAACATAGCATGAATGTTCCTTGTGAGGTGCTGACCAAGTGTTGTTACTTTGTAGCCGATCCATCATCCAAGATGGCCGCCATCGGGGGACTTAGTTAAACATAGGATCCTATGGGAAATACATACAATTGTCTTCTTTTAAAGAAACACTGAATGGAATGAAACCAAACATAGCATGAATGTTCCTTATGAGGTGCTGACCAAGTGTTGTTACTTTGTAGCCGATCCATCATCCAAGATGGCCGCCAGTGGGGGACTAGGCTTAACATAGGACACTAAGGGAAATACATACAGATGTCTTCTTTTAGAGAACCACTGAATGAAATGAAACCAAACATAGCATGAATGTTTCTTATGAGATGCTG